TCCTGCTACCAGAAATCCTAGAACAAGCCCTTTCACTGAATTTTCTACATGTTTTGAAAACCAAAGGCTGATGGTTTTATCAGCTGTGGCATTGTTCTGGTATCTAATTGCCACTTGGAAACTGCAAGCGTTTTTGTTATATACATCATGAAGCGAAGGAACAATCATGATTTATATATTCTCTGAGCTACACTGGAATTCTGATACTCGATCTATTTTCAACCACAGTTTCTATAAAGATCTATAAAGATTGAGGGGATTTTCGATGTGCTGAGCAGACTGGCTGTAAATCAGGGAGTGGGGAGTCCAGTCACTCTCACATCGCTGTGGTTTATAAACAGTTGGCAAAATATCACTTTAATCAGACAACCGTCTAAATCTAAACATTCTCACTGTTTGTGTTACCAGAGAAATTTGCACTGAGACGTAGCCCGTAGGTGTGGCGATGAGAAGAGAGGAAAAATGCCATTTTATGAAACAGGCCTCCCAAGTCAGTTCTGTAGTAACGAGGGAGCATGAGAACCAGCGAGGCCTGTGTGCGCTGGGAGGGGAGGGCAGGTCGGGCGAGAGGGCCCGTCTCTGTGCGTAAAGGGAGGGACCTGGCTGTGACAGGATGTGACCATCAATATGCAGTTATGCATCCACCCTCCCTCTCTCGATCTCTCAGCATCACCCTTTTTACCTATCTGTACTTCCTCCTTTCAGCTGGGACTGAAATGCTCAAACCTTTTTTCTCATGGGTTGCTTTGTGGTATGACTGAAACCAGGTGATTGCTGAACCAAACCCGTTTTATTGGAACCCGTTCAAATTAATGTGTAGACCCTAGAGGAACAGATGACTTTAATTGAACACTGGAAGTTCCGGGCGTTCCTCCTGAAGCCATTTTCAAGTCCTCCGCTAGGTCAAACCCTGGGGGGAGGCGTCATTGCTTTCATCCAGATGTCAGTCCAGGGAAGGTCATGACTAACATTAGCAACAACAAATAATAAACTTTGAGGCTTCTAAAAATAACTGTGGACTGGAAAAGCTCTATCTTTGTTTTCACTGTTTAGGTTTTGTGCGATGGATGATATTTAGAGTCGATTCCTGAGGGTTTTGCTAACTTAGTATCACTTCCCCCCTCTCCTTCAGTGTTCTCGTTGGGGGACACCACTTAAGATGCCTCATCACCCTCATCCCAGGTGAACATGTGCCCTAAGCTGGCCATAGTCCTTCATTCCTCAGGCCACAGTGACTGACTCAGGGGTGGGCACATGCCAGAGGCTTCTCTGAGTTTGGGATATGGAAGCTGGACGGAAGAGGGTTCTTTTTCTTTGGGATTCCAAGTACTAAAGATGCAGTTTTGAGGCCCACAGTGATAGAGACAAACATAGAGAAAAACAGCATCAAAAGCTGGAGAATCCTGACCGTCTGAGCCCCTGGATCCAGCTTTGTGTGTCCTTAGTTACATGGCCCAATATCCAATATATTCTTTTCTTTTCTTTTTAAGTTTAAAGCTAAACTATTTAGAGAAGGGATCTGTTACTTTCTACCAAAAGATTCCTCACTAATATTGTATCCTATCAAACTCACACTTAGTAACAGAAATGAGAAAAAGGACTCGTGGTGAGGATGATCATATTGTCGAAAGCTATTTCTAAAGAATCTGAGATCTACCATTGAATTTGGCCTATTACTTAGTATCCTGGTGATTTAACAGTTAAAATAGGCTGCACTATGGACATTTTCTCTTTTAAGAGAACTTATTACTTAGCTAATAGCAATGAAACTGGCACTGACTTGAACCAGAAAACAGAGAAACCTCCCAATTATTGCCCTGATAATTAAGATGCTTGAGATTACTATACATAACTTGTAAGAAAAAATTACAAGCAGAAAAGGACAGGGTTAGGTCCGTAAACAGACAAGTTGAGACTTGAAAAATAACCCGTCTGTTGGCTCTTAGGAATCACGCTATCCTTTTAATTGGAAATAATTCAACTCAACTGTGAGAAAATGAGGACACACATGGAGATATGATAAGCTCTTTGAGAGAAGCCCTGGTAAGAGCTACAGAACTGGAGTCAGAGCTTCTGTCCAGAGGACGAGCAAATATTGCTCCTAAGTTATGACATCCTATCCTGCTTATCTTAAAGGATGAACGAAGGTTGTGGAGCTCTGAGGTGTCAAACCTACAAATGCTACACTAAGCCCCCTTTTCAAGATCTTGAAAGCTTCTCAGTCTCTGTGTTTAGTTTCATGTCACATAACCCGACCACAGACATTAACTACAAAAATAAAGGCCAACAGACATGACGTACTGAAATTCTCACCTCAGCCTCCAACTCTATGACCCTTCGTGATGCTCTTCCTTTCTAAGATTAGCCCTCCCTATGCTCGCCCCTTCCTTTTGGGAGCCTGCGTCATTCGGCCCCAGCATCTGCAGCCTTTCATTCTTCAAGGCTTCTTCTCCCTGACCTTAGAAGATGAGTGTACACTGTCAGTCTTCACTTGATACTGCCATCTCCTGTCACGTTCACCTTCGTGTTACTGCTCCGGTTTCTTCTACAGCCACACACTCTACTCTGCCACCACTCCTCTTTTGGCTTCCTGTAATCAAGTTCCTGCCCCCACCATACACTGAAGTGGCCTCTTGAAGGCTGCCCGTGAGGTCCTCATGGCCAGCCCCAACCCCCTTTTCTCAGGCCTCAACCTCAGTAGCACTTCGAACAGTTGCTCGCTTTGGGAATGACTCTCCTGAGTCTCTATGAAGTGGCTCTCTTGGATGTTCCCACAGCTTCTTGACAATACTTCCCCTGCTGCCTCTTCCTACTCCAGGTGCCCTTAAGGTCTCTTCCTAAGCCTTCAGATCTTCCTTTCTTAGTTCTCTGTAGAAGACCTTATTTATTCTCATGGTTCCAATCTCACTTGGGAAGATTCTCAAATTTCCATCTCCAATTCCAACTTTTTCTTTTTTTTAAATTCGGATGGCAAATTCCTTACCCAGGGACCTTTCAGCATTTGCCCACTGGTGAGCCTGCTGGCACTCCATAAAAGGCACCCTCTCCATGTATACCTTTGCTCAGCTCAGCTGCGAGATTACTACTCCCTTACTCAAAAGCCTTCAGTGGCTCTCTCTGACGACTGAGCAAAGTAACATTCCTTACAGTGGGATTCAGGACCTCTACAGTGAAGCTCTAATGCAGCCCTTTCATTAACACTGCCTCCAGGGAAGCCTACAGTTCGGCAAAACTCTTCCTCTTGCCAATTCTCAAACATGCTTTCCTGCCTTCCTGTCTGGGAACCTGCTGTACTTTCTCCCAATGAGATGCCCAAAGAGAAAACTCAGTCTTGACTGGAAGGGATCTTAGAGATTGTCTCCTCTAACTAACTCATTTTACAGATGAGGAAAAAGACACAAGCCCAAGGTCATATGATCTATTAGGTACAGACCTGGCTGAGGACCCCTGGCTCACAGGTCAAGATATTTCCTCAGGCAGCACACTGCTTTCACTTCAGAGCCTATTAAGGATCATCCCATATATAAACTAATATTTAAGCTTTTGTAGTTTGGAGGCTTTATAAGGTCAGATGACTCCACTGGCAGCCAGGCAAAGCTTGGCATGATGGCCGAGATAGCAGAATCACTCAGCATGTTTGCCCTGCATTGCCCAAGCATTCAAAAATAAAAACCCTATGCTCCTGGGAAAACGTTCCTTAGGAAAACTGATCCTGAACCAATGAGGCCTAACTGATTCTGACCCAGTGAGTTTTCAATGAGTGAAAACTGACATATAGAGGAAGCTCTCTTAAGTTCACAGAGTGTGGGTGACAGAAAGCTGATGTGGGAAACTGGTGGCAGCAATATTTTTGAAATCATACTGTTTCATGACTTCAGCATAAATTAGGAACACAAAAGGTGGAAACATAGACCAAAAATGAGAGCACAGGAAAATAGACAGATAAATGTCACATAAGTTACCTTCATCTCTGTGTGTGAAACAGGAAGACTGTTTCTTTGGTTTTCTCCCTGGTCCCCACTCTCGACATTATGACTAATTGTAAAGGCTGCACACTTGCAGCACACATGAAAAACCCCAAACACCGACACTACCCTCACATCACCCAAAAGAGAGTTTGGGGGGGAGGGGATGATGGGTAGGAAACCACCTCGCAAAAAAGTCTAACAAGAAAAATATTCTTCATTATCAAAGGCTCTGGTAACAAATTGTACTTGTTTGGAATTCAAGAATACTGCTTCTAAAAACTCCCTTCTAGTGAAAAAGACATAGACAATAACAAGAACAGATGGGGGAAATCCACTCCCACCCACTGTCTTGGAAACACACACACACACACACACACACACACACACACACACACACACAGAAAAGAAAAAAGAAAAATACCTCCCTTCTCCCCAAAACTCAACAGTGCTAGACCCTGAGTAGGTACTCCAAAAATCCTTTTGGGTGATCCCCCCTCCCACCCCCACTCCTCCATTTTAACATTAGATCTTAACGAGCAGCAATCTAACTGAGAAACTTGAGACCTGGGGCAGGGGAAAATCTACACAGAACACTACCGACTACATGGTGATCAAGAAAGAAGAGTATTTGGTTTTAAAAGTGTACCCCTATTTTATAGCAGTTCATTTGAGGATGCTAGGAGAGACAGAGATAAGGGAAGGTGTATGAGAAAAGGTAACGAGCTTAGTATTTGCTACATTGTGTGTGAGGAAGCAATTGGATTCCCTGTCAGCCATTCAGAACCCGCAGGAGAAGGTTCTGAATGACTAGCGAGGACCTGGGCACAGGGACAAAAATGCATATTATTGCTATGGACTAAAGGTTCTTACTCAGACCTATGGGAGCTACTGAATGAGCTTCTCAGTCATTCTGATGTTTGGCCAGAATTTAGAATCATAAGCCTGGAAGTAGTAAACAAAGAAGTAGCAGAAGATAAACATTTAAATCGTTAATATGGACAACTGAAAAATTTAAAAATTGGTTCAGTTAGTCTTGTCTTAGAGAGGGATCTTTTGAGTAAGGCCAAATGATGAGATTTAGGTGATGTGAATTCATCTAACGCTCTTTTGCTTAAACCACTCCTTTCTCTTCAGTTATCTGATGGATCTTTTTCTTTGCCCAGTTTAGTGGAACACAAAAACTTTCCATATGTTAGAATGCATGAATTGAGATTGAGATTGTTACATGTGGTCACGAGGTGATTTCAGAGCCACTCTCAAGTATCTCAGAATGTCACTTAGTTTCTTTTCCACTTAAAACGTTTTTATAAACTGGCCAAATTCTGGATTTCCATTATATTATCTATTTTGAGGGAGAAAACACACTTCATTATGACACTGAATCAGATTGATTTTCTGGGTGACAGCTCCTCTAGAACTGTCTCCTTGCTGTTGTCACGAGCATTGGGCTTTCTGATAATGCTCAGCCATGACCTAACGGGATTACCACTGGGCATGAACTGTCCCCCAAGCAGCAGGGTGCTAGAGTTTATCGCCCCCAGGACCCATAAAGTCAGCCATCCCTGGATTGAGCTCTTTTTATTTCTTGATTGTTTAATGTCCTGCATATCATAATCAGTGTTTTAATTCAGGATGTGGGCCTCCTGGCAGTTTTCTGAAGGGCACACATTTTGAAGTCAACTAACTGAGCATTCTTTTTTTCAGTCATCCCAAGTTCTCTGTGCACTGAGAATATTTTTAAACTCATGGCTGTGTTAATTTTTAAACTGATGCTATCCTAGGGGTTGCCAATGCAGAAGAGGTAGATAATGGGAAAGAAATTATGTGGCATTGCAGTTAACCGAGAAAATGTGTAGATCAATTTTTCCGCCTGAGAAAAAATACACATTTAGGGGAAGAGCACATTCATCTATCTTTAGAGTTAAACTGAGCTCTCAAAAAAAAAAAAAGAAAAGAAAAAAAAAAGGACATGAGCTGCTATTCTATGAAACAAGGACTGTGTAACTATAAACGAATATGGCAAAAGTTGTTTTAAATAAGTAGAAAGATATCAATCTTATTCCAATGTATCTTGGCACATGCTTTGGAGGAGGTTTATGAAAGTAAGCATGTAATTTGGACAGTAGTAGCATTTCTGATTTCATTCTATTAAGAAATGCATGATTACTGGGTTAGTGTTGCAGGTAGCATTATTACTAAATTAAAGAAGAACTCCAGTCTACGGTCATGCTACCCCGAACAACCCCGATCCTGTCTGATCTCGGAAGCTAAGCAAGGTCGGGCCCGGTTAGTACTTGGATGGGAGACCACCTAGGAAGACCAGGTGCTGTAGGCATAAAAAATAAAAAAATAAGGGATTGTAAACTGACAAGGTCCTTGCAATCTGTGAGGTCAACCAAAGGTTGCCTCACCTAAAAAAAATTAAAAAAAAGAAAAAGAAAAACTCTAAAACCAAAAACTTTTTTTTGTAAGAAAGAGAAACCTGAGAATGTAGACTCATATTTGCTTGTGTCTGTGTAAAAAACTGCTGGAAGGATACAGTGGGGGATGAGAAGAAAGGGGCGGGGTGCAGGAATGGGAGTGAGAGTTTTTTTACCATATATGTTTTATCATTTTGGTTTTTTGTACCAATGTAAATATACCACCTATTCAAAAATTGTTTTTTTAAAAAATAATACAATTAAATAGGAGATAATAAAATTAAAGAGCAGATTACACACAGAAGAGGTTGGGCATAGGAGAAATAACGATCTTCCCATTAAAAAGTTAAAGCATATGTATAATGATAAATACATTTGTTAAATGTTAAGATTTATTAAAACTAGATGATGAGTATCTAGTGCTTATTATATTACAACCTTTATCTCACCTATATAAATCTAAAATAGTTCCCCTTTCAAAAAATAATTTTTAAAAAACACCCTTTAGTCCATCAAAATATTCTATCTGTTAGCCACGAAAGACAAGTTTTTATGAAAATGGAGGCCAAGGAATGGCAACTTGCATTAACTATTTGATTACTTTTTATAACCTGGTATGATTTCAATATTTATAAATAAGTAGTCACTCTGATAAAATACACATGGACATTCATGAAGTAGTACACAGTGTACTATTTCTTATTCCTCTGTTTTTTAGATTTTCTTCATCTCTCACTCTTGGAATTAAGTCCAAATACAGCTCAGAATTAGTCAAGAAAGTCATGGGCTCTAGTTAACTGAAGCCCATAGGATCACCTTGGCTCATTCCTAGTCCTGTAAGAAACCTGAAAACTGCATGCTCGCCAGCCACCCAGGGCAGGGGGTACTCTAGCATATAGCTCAGAATCTCAAGGCTATTTTGGACTCCTGGTAAACCATTAGAAATAAACCCTTGGGAGCATGGAGAGCAAAGGTTATGACAAGGTTAAACATACCCAATTTCCTGGGATTACATAAGACTATGCATATCTCATACGAATCCATGATTCTGGATTCTCTTTTGGAGGGTTATTCAGTAAATGATTTTAGGTTTGGTGAACTTGGGTGTGGGACCTTGTCAGCAAACTCTCCTGCATTTAACTAAGGCTCAATTGAGATGCAGCATAGTATACCACCAGAACACTTCTAGTCCTACTATTTCAACCACTTACCATTGAAGAGTATTCCTATGTCAGAGACCATGAAGACCCTTTACATACATGATCTCCAATCCTGACAATAACCCAGCAAGACTGTTGGTATTGGTTTCATTTTACGAACAAGAATGACAAGGGCTGAGAGAATTTAAATATAAAGCAAATTACTCAAGGCCATTTAGGGTAGAACGAGTATTCAAATTCAGGTCTATCTGATTCTGAAAGCCATGTTTTTTCTACTGCGACACAAAACCTTTGACATCGTAACTTTTAGCTTTAGTTTGAACATTGTGAAATTAATTATACTAAGGATGACAGATCCACATGTAATAATTTGTGCCTGAGCATGTTTAAAGTAATTTATAAAGAAAAATGACAGTCACCTGAAAAATCTGCTTGGGAATGCAAAGCCATTCCAAAGATAAACACTGCATTTCCTGCATGCAAAAAGCAGTATTAAAAATTAAACAAATTGTAACCCCAAAGAAATGCATAAATCTTACCACCTTCCTCAGATTTCACGTTTAATAGTTCATCTATCGGTCCATTAGAGGAGGGGGAAGAAAACAAAATCGTGAGTTAGTTTCATTTTGTAAGGAGTTTGAGTCAAATTATTAAAATCGAGTTGTTTTCTTTAATCTAGATTACCTGAGCATGCATTGTGTGTAGAGCTTTTGTCTAAGGCAGATAAAACACCTTTTTCTTCTTCAGCTGTAAATATAATGTACGATCGGTTAGCACCAGTTCAGAATGGTGTGCATGTTCACATGCTCTTACAGTGTAAGGTAAACACACAGCTTCAGGCGGAAATGGCATCCACAAACGCACTCAGGCAGAAGCAGGGATCCTCGGATTACATTTTACTCAAGCTGGGGGCTCTCAGCTTTGTCTCTGCTTTGTTTGTTAGAAAAAATATGGCACTTATGTAACAATTCTCCTTCCATGGACACATGTGTGACATAAGTAATTGACTATTACTTGATGGTGCTAATGAACTTCAGCCATATAGGACTGGCTAAAAAAAAAAAAGAGTAGATTACTGAGTGAAAGAAGCGATCTGTAAATGCTACATACTGCATGACTCCAACTATATGACATTCTGGAAAAGGCAAAAAACTCTGGAGACAGTAAAAAGATCAGTGGTTGCCAGTTTGGAAGGAGGGGGGAAGAGATGACTAGGTAAAGCCACAGGAGGATTCTTACTTAGAATAGTAAAACTATTCTGTATGATACATGTCATTATATATTTGTCAAAACCCACAGACTGTACAACACCAACAGCAAACCTAATATAAACTATGAAATTTAGGTGATAAGATGTCAACGTTAGTTCATCAGTTATAACAAATGTACCACTCTGGTGGGGGATGTTGATAATGGGGGAGGCTGTGAGTGTGTAGAGGCAGGAGTTATATGGGAAATCTCTTTACCTTCTGCCCAATTTTTCTGGGAATCAAAAACTGCTCTAAACAATAAATGTGTGTTTGTGTGTGTTTCCGTGTATGCGTAAACACACACATACAGTAGAACAGCCTTAAAACTTGTTTTGTTCATATACATTAAACTTTCTGCAGATCACAGAATAAAAGATAACACTTTATTTTAATGGATTCCATTCTGTGTATATATAAAATAAGATGGTCAACATTTATAGTCTCAAAAAATTATGCAAATACTACAAGCAAGTGAACATACTACACAAAGAAAATTTGATACCCCTGTATCATCACATATTGCATGAATACATGATTTATGCAGATATGAAACTTGAATACAAATATAATAAACTAGAGTTTGCATTTTGTTAAGGAACTAAATTTTTCCTATTGGGTTATTTCGATTCTTAAAATATGATTTATTCTGTCGGTATCTAAGGGATACTGAGGCTGGAAGGTGTGGATCAGTATAGTCAGAGAACTCGTATGTGGCCAACAAGTTCAGGCTGGCCTGCTTCTCTGCCTTCTTCTGCCATTTGCTCCCTCCCTCATCCCCCTAGGACACTGTTCCTTTGACCTTCTCCTGGTCCTCCCTCACTCATCACCTTTGCCCACACTGTTTCTTTTGCTTTACCAGGTCTTGCAACAGCATTTGACTCAGCTAGTTCCCTGATCCCTCGAACAGGTGAGGTCTTCCTATCACATGTGTCCACAGCCCTTCTAGCTCTCGCCGAAGATGGAGTTGCCCGATACCTGTGTAATTCTTAGGTTACCACCTGTTTCCCCTTTTGACCGAAAGCCTCGTCCTGCAATAGTCTGAATATGTCTAGTGGACCCACTGTATGCTGAGAGCCCACCGCTGTGCCCGCCACAGAGATAACACTCAATAAACTTCTGTTAAACAAATAAACAAGTACGTAAGTGAAGCTGTACATACATGTACAGGTGATGTGAAGCCAAGCTAGAGAAGCAAAAAAGTGAGAGGTGGTTTTTTTTTTTTCCTGTTGAAAGGCAGATGGGGTTAAAGCAAATGAAGCAGTAAGTGGGAGAAGAATGAAGTAGGTGAGGGAAATGGTTGGAAAAGTAGGAGGAAAGACAAAAGGTAAGAGGGTGGAGGAAAAAGATGGAACAGAGGGCAGATTCTAGGGTCTAGTCTGCCTCTTTCTACCTCCCAGAAAGGGTGTCTGCTGCAGCAAAGCATGGAACAATGCAGAGGCAAATATGTACCCTGGGAGGGCCAGATTGAACGGAGAGTTGGAGTGATTTTAGTTCTCTTCACATCTCTCCTGCAAAACTTTTCCCTGAATCTCTGAGGATTTCCAGTCCCAATGAATAGCTCAGCATTACAGCATCTTAGTTCTACCCCAATTTACCATTCTCTCTAGTCCTTTATGAGAAGAAGAACCAATGAAAGAATGCGCAGCAATGGCGGGAGACAGGGATAGCTGACAGGCCCCTCATAGCCCATGGCATCATCTGTAAACGCTCTAACCCCTTTTTTGACCATGTGGGTTGGTATACCCGAGGGACCTGGTGTCATTCATTGCAGAACAGGCCCGGGAATCACCTGAAAGAGCAGTGTCCCCATCTGTTCCCAACAATAACCAACACCCACCCCACAACACAATGAAAACAAAACGCACCCAATATAATCATCTAATCTTATTAAAATTACCATCTACAGCCCGAACAGCAGTTAGACCTAGTAATCGTAATAGCAGAAATGTTATCATCTGTTGTAAAAGAAATAGCTCTCTGCCAAGTCTCAGTCATGGATGCTCCACTGACAGGCTACTGCCAAAGTGACTAACGGTGCTATTTTCTGGCTCAAAATATACAACCTCTCTCAATAACACTGCAGGGTTGACATCGTCGATCTATAAAAATTTAAAGCTGACGCTATAGGAAGCAAGTTAACATAGAATTTTCTCTGCTCTTTCTGAACAAAATTAGAAAAGAAGAAAGGCCTAAAGGGAGTTTGCCAAAAAAGATAATGAGTTGGCTGTTAAGCAGTAGTATTTCAGAAGCAATTCTAAATAAAAATCAAAACTTACTCTTAAAACTAGAGGATTCCTTGTGCTGGTTTTCTTCCTCTAATGAAATTAACCTTAAAATTAAAAAAAAAAAGTTTAGTAATCTGTTTCTGAAAATGTTATATTTATGATACAATATCAATAACTGCACTTATAACACACACACATGCACACACACACACAGACACATGGTGAATGTATAGTCACTTACAGGCCATACATTTTTACGAAGAAGAAACAAATTTGCTGGCTTTCTCCTGTACCAAGGCTGGTTAGCAGCATCTTAACATATGAATTGTTAAGATGTTAGCAGCATCTTAACATGTAAGGCACCTATTGTGTGAATATCTAGATGGGCAGTTAGATATAACTAATGCAGATATAACTAAGATACTTACAGTTATCACTTTTAAAAACATAGTTTAAAAATTAATGGACAAGCAGGTATTTATTCTGATTCCTGGTATTGTAGGAGAGACTACCTCAGGAGGCTAGTTAAATTACATATGGCTGAAAGTAGGATCAGTCTCAAATCCAGTCAACTGTCACCTACCCAGCTCTTACCACACATGGGTGAGATCGCGGCAGAGACACATTACTACCCTGAGACCCAGCTGGTGTCTCTGAACCTCCCTTCTCGCACGATGGTTCGCCTGCTCCTTCTGAACAAAATTCTTGCTAAATTTTCATTGTCTTTTTATACAGTTACTGGGTTACACTTTTTGAGTTTTTAAAAATAAAGTACTAAAATAAAGGAGAACTCCTAAATTAAAACTATTGGCCAATCTTGAGTGGTTCTCTTCTGAGTAAAGGCTAATCCTTTATTTTGATTCTAGTAACATATAAGATGAAAAGAAGGTGCCAGGACTCACCCCACACTCTGCCTCCTACTACACCAAGGCATGGGCCCCTTTCACCTGTCTGAGCCTCGCTTCCATCCTTCACACAACGGGGCAGTGCCTATGCTGATTGTGTGGAGGGTTACCATGAGCATGCACTGGGGTGACATAAATAAAGCACCTGGCATGGTACACAGTAAGTACTCACTAAATGGTAGCTAGCATTACCATCATTAGGAATGGATTAAACTGGTTCCCCCAATATCGTCAATTGTACTACACTGATACCACATTCTATTGTCTTCCTATAGTGAAAACTTGTCTTCCTTCTGCACTAAAGAAATTTTCTAGCTTTTGCTTTAAACAAAAAAGGGCTAATATTGGCACGAATATTTCTGTTGGTGTGTGTGTGTGTGTGTATATATATATATATATACACATACACACACACACATACATACATACATGTGTGTGTGTGTGTGTGTGTATGCACACACACACACATATATAGAAACAGTAAAAATATAAGGCTGTTTTGTCATAAGATTGTCATCTAAATTTTTGTGTGTGTGGAAAAGGAAAAGCAAATCATAAGGTGATCTATTTTGGTTTCCTAGGTTAGCCCATTCGAGATTAATGCCGTTCCTGCAGGCTATGACATCTTACTAGAAAAAGACATAGATTCGTATTTAAACTTTCGCCTTGCTATATGAGATTAGGAACCATGCACCGTATCTGTTGAAAGTTTCTTTCAGTATTTCAAATGACTGGAGGCGCCTTCTTTGTAAAGAGGCGAGAAATGAAGATGGAGCAGTCACTTCCTGTACTCAGAGCTGCTCTCTGCTTCACAGAGAACAGAAGGTCTGAAGATTAGAAAACAAAATGTCAAAACCCAACACTTTTGCATGATAACACCTAAGTACCATATGAATTATGAGGCAATTTCATAGGTTATTTCCTTCTTTGAGAGAAAAGCAGGGGGATTTCCTATCTAGGACAGGATCTTGTAAGTGATGGTAACAAAAGGACCAGATAGGGTCTAGAAAGCTGGGGCTGAGGCCACAAGATAGGGAGCCAGGCAGCCCTGTGACCACTGCCCTTTCCTGCCCCACTAAACTCCTCACAAGTGTGTCCCTTCTAAGTACCCCAGAAATGGGTCTCTTGTTGGGGTAAGTGAGTCCCAGTCTAGCAGGAATATGTGTTGGGGGAGGAACTGGTCTCAATTTTAATACATCCACTCTGAGAAGTGAGGGAGTAGAGCGATTACGCTGCAGCTGAGGCTCCAGCAGACTTGGCCAAGGAGGACTGTGCCACCCCTGCCTGCAAGAAGAAAGATTTTGCCAAGCGAAGTAGCCTGTGACTTACTGGCTCGGCTCCTCTGCTGCGGCCTCTGCACTCTCCTGCTGGGTGATCTTCCTTTCCTCCTTCTCAATCAGCTTTTTCATAGGGTCTTGTAAGCTCTGGATCATGAGCCGTAGACATTAAAAAGTAAAAAGAAAAAAAAAAAAAAAGAAAAGAACAAAAGGAAAAGAAAGATCATCAATAAAAATTTCAACTGCCTCTGGTCCCAACAACCAAATCTTAAATTAGAGATTTGGGGAGGTAACCTTGAACCAATCAAGTGGACAAGAATGAAATTTTATATGTTCTCAGACCCATCCAAGAAATACTAGCCTATAAAGTAGAGCTGTTTTGCCACTAGATTTATGTTTTCCCTTTTGTGATAAGTTATTCAAAAGAAGGCCTTTTGGCTATTGCTAACTTTATTTTTCATCTTTAACATGCAGCTAAGATAAACATTCTGTTCTGCTTACAGCCCACACACTGACAGAGTAGAAGCTTTTTCTCCTCCAAAGATGAGATAATCTCATTTTATTTTTAATTTTGTTTGCTACTTTGCAATCTAAAAACAGCTTTAAAAACAAGAGGAAACAAAACCCTTTTTTACAAAAACAGTGGCTTAACATATTCTGACAAGTTAACTCCCACGAGTGGACAAAGCAGGTACATCTAAATCTTTGTAGATTAAAAATGGGGGAGAGCCTTTTTATGGTACATAATTTCTTGAAGTTACTGTTTTCAAGGTTTATTAAGTATTTAAGAGAAGACTTTTTAAAAAGCAAGTGCCTAGAAACTGTACATCGGTGACAAAACCTGAAAAAGCAAAAACATTTCTATAACAACTGAATAATGAGTTATACAAAAAGATCTCTATTCCTGGCCCTAATTAAAATACAAATCTAAAATACAAAAGAAACATCTCGAGATGCTCATCCTGCTTATACCCTCAGAACTATTGAAGTCCATCCTTTGGGCCTTCACGTCTCTTTTCCCGCCTTCCTTCTTCCTATCTTTCTGGTATGATAACACGCACAGAAGAAGGCAATTACGTGTCATATGCCAACTCTGACTGAGTAGTGATGACTAACTGGAGGGCTGGATGAAGCAGTTTGGACGCTGAGTCTCAGCAGAGCAGAGCTATAATTGATTTTGGTGTCTGCCACGGATACCAGAGGGACACTGGTGTCACCCCTCCTAAGTGCCAGCTCTGTTTCACTCCCTGCACAGAATAATTTTTCCTGAAACATTCAAGCCATCACGTTACCCTTTTTCTCAAGAACCTATAGTAGTTCCTAACTTCTTTCCTTTCTGCCCAGTTTTAAAGATCTTTTAAAATATGATCCTACCTCACTCTCCCAGATCACATCCCACTAACCCCCAAGTGTGAGCTTTCCTTTCAGTTAGACCTGTCTCCTCGTGGTCTCCTATGTGCTACTTGTTCCTTTCCTATCTTTCTTCATTCTGCTTCTTAACCAAAAAAGCTCTCTCTACCTATCTGGCCACCCTCAAAAGTCCCATCGGTCTTTGCAAAGCCTGGATTAATTACCACGATTTTCCATAAAGCTTCGTGCAATAAGCATGCCAAGTTCAAGAAAGTCCTTCCATCTCGAAACTACATTTACAGTTTTATTAACATTTGATTATATCTATTCTGTATTATATTTTGTCTCTTAAAAATATTTTTTAAATCAGAAAAACAATAGAACCACATATAGAATGCTTGGAAATTTTAAAAAAGAAAAATTACTCATAATTCCATTTCTCCCAAAATAATGTTATTATTTTCATATATATCTTTTTCATACACAAATACTTACATACTGAGAATCCCTGTTGTGTATGTGTGCATATAAATATATGTATATATTTTATAAATAGTAGCTCTTAACCAATATAATTTGTGCAGGTAGTTCACAATCAATAACACTCCCTATTAGAGTGGAGAATGTACAAAAGATTTTATACATCTTAAACATTTAATACTGAATTAAAACATTTCAACATACATTTATTCGCCATTATTCTAATGTAGGGCCAAGGTTTTCTCATTGAATAGATGTCCTCCGATTGGAGATCTGAAGCATTTTCTTGCATAAAGCACACCCCTCAGGCATCGCCATCATTTTTAATGACTCCCTATTTCTGGACATTTAGATTAGTTCACTCAGTCAACAAACAGTTTTTGTGTCCCTAGCAAGTGCTAGGTGCCGTTCTGGTTGCTGGGGATACACCGGTGAACAAGAGAGACAAACTTATCAGCCAGAGAGGGGTCTCGGCAGAGAACTAAAATAGGGGGATAGAAAGTGATCGGGTCATAACTCCAGTTAACAGGACTATCCTCTCTTGGAAGTGACATTTCAGCTGAGAGTTAAATGAAATGAAGGAGCCAGCCATGTGCAGCTCAGGGACAGAGGAGGCCGCCAAGGGCACAGTCCTAAAGGTGGGAATAGCTTGGCTTGTTCGGGGAACAAAGAGAATGCCACTGGGGCTGCGGTATAGTGGGCAAGAGTACAAGACTTATGAGACTGGGATAAAGAGGTCAGCAGGGGTCACACAGGGAGAACATTCCTTTGCCCACATTCATCAATATTTAACATTTTGCCTCATTAGTTTCATCATATTCTTTTGCTCTTTTTGCCTCTCTAATGCATGCTAACTAAATGGAATTCACGATCCTTGGCTGGAAGGGAACATGCTATAAAGAACAACATTGGAACAAATGAGGCAGCTGGAAGATGGACTGTAGTCTAGATGTTCTTTTTTATTTTTATTTTTTAATTATATACTGCAAAGCATCTAGTGAAAGTTGGGCACGTGTGTATGTGCGTGTGCATGTGTATTTTGGAAATGTGCAACCTTAAGGAGGAGTTCGACAGATGTCAAGGACTTACTCTTTTCAACAGATCTGCCAATCACAGCATTTTATTCACACACACACACACACACACCCACACACACACAGTAGATCTGCCAATCACGGCATTTTATTCTCACACACACACACACACACCCCCACCCACCCCTTAGAGAAGTTTTACTCTCTGGTTAAAGTGAAGCCAGGAGTATTTTCAGCTGAGGTTCTATGGCTCCAACACTCACTTTTTGATTCTGTGACACTTGCCTAGGCCTCCTGGTTTGCTCAATTATCTTCTCATTGCATTTCCTTTTTATCAATCAGCACCAGGCAGGGCCAGGACATGCCTGCTCCCAGGCGGCCTGTCTAGCTGCCACAGCGCTTGCCTAAGCCCCCGAGATGCCCTTGACAGCTCCATGGTTATCATCCCTTCTGTCTCCAGCCTGACCTCCCCTCATAACCACACTTGAACAGCTCTCAGACAATCCCTTTGTAATGTAAACCACTCCTTCCTTCTTTTCAACCCCTTCCCCTGTTGGGCCATTAGCAGGGACTCAATTGTTGGCTCCCTGTCACCACAATCACAGTTAAGTCATTATTGTGCTTCACCAACAGAATGGCTGCGGTTTCAATTGCTACTTTAATTTATTAATAATTCCTGTGACAATCGTTCCTCTCTTCCTTCTGTTACCATTGTCCCTTTAATAATTTGGCTATAGCCGCTCAAAAGAGATGCTAAATATGTACTTGTTGGTTGATAAATTAATGTACACAAGGTTAAACTGCAAAAGTTAGAGCTCCTTAGCTAGGAGATTCAAAGGGTCAGGAGACTAATATGAAAAGGTTTATGAAACCACAAGGAAAAATAATATTGAGCACATGTACTTGTTTATTAAATAGAATTTTAAACCGAGGGGAATTGTGTGTGTGTGTATGCACACACACACACATATATCAGCTTTACTGAAATATAAGTCATAGACCTAGAATTCACCTATTTAAAGCACACCATCCCCCCCCCAAAAAGGTATAACATTCACTGGTTTTTAGTATAGTCACAGAGTTGTGCAACCATTACCACAATCGATTTTAGAACATTTTCCAAGAGGCATCTCTTAAAGTAAGAATGAGTTTTAGATCAAACTAAGCTACATACTCCTCTATATAGCAAGGAAAAACCCCCAAACCAACACATATGGAACTCGTTTCTTACAAAGATGATATACATGGAAGGGATAAAGAGGCTTAGGGGAACTCCAAAACATCATGGAGGACAAATCATGTTCTCTTTCCTCCCTAAAAATTAGTTCCTAGATGTGACTGTCAGATATAGGATATTCGACATGGTGGACTGCTGCTCTCTCCAAGGCTTGGTTAAAAGGCACAACTGGGGCCTGGGGGAGAGGCGAATTCTTAGATTAAAGTCCACAACTCAGCTGAAAACACTTAACCCTATAGCATCGTGTAAGTCAGAGGTGACAGCATTTTCTGTGTGACATGAACACCTGCTCCGGCAAAATGAATCTAAGAAGGCTGGCTGACAGTACAGATGAGGCAGCCATCAGACGGAACTATTCTGAATCACTGGCTGATGAAAGCCACATTCAAATCCATGTCCAGAAACAAAATGTCAAAGCATTCTGTTTCTAAACCCTAAACCCACTAGGTCTTTCATTAAAATTGCTTGCGAATATGGCAATACAGCATCCTATAAAACTGAAAAGTTCTCTGTGGAGGAAAAAATGTTTTTTAGACCAAGTAACCTTTCTCTGTTAAGGCTGCACTGACATGCTAATAGTTTCCATCGATCCTTAAATGGTTTCAGGAAGCACACAAGGTATAAGATTAGCGTGACAGAGGAAACTCACAGTCTGAGCTTGCAAAAGTGTCTTAGGAGACAGGTTAATGTAATAATGGGAGTTACTACTTCCAATACAAGGAAAATAAAAAGCAAGAGTAACATTCATCTGAATGAATGCAAAACTACCCAGCAAAACAAATTTCACAGACAAAAGGCCTGGAGCCATCCCTAATATATGACCTACTTTTGATAACTGGATAACATTTTCTCTAATCTTTGTGATATTTAATTTTCTTATGCTACTTTCTATTAATTATACTGTATGTATATGAAGGAGCCAAATATTATCTATAAAAGGAAATGAAAGTGCTCAACATAGTGAGGCCTGTTAAAAGATGCTGGATTCAGTTGGGTGTATGTGTATATGTTTGTGTTTATATAATTGGTAGCACATGAGGAATAAA